GCCGTCTTCCTCAGCCAAACTGAGTGTGAGACCTCCCAGCAACTCCCCACATCTCTATCACCTGGGGGTCTGTGATGGACAGTCGAGGGCTAACTGAGGCACTACATGTCCACTGGCACCACACTCCTGCCTCCCAGTGAGGGTGGGCCCAGCCTGGTGGCACCCACAGAGAACAGAAGTGCACGAGGGGTTACAGGGCCTGCCCCAGGCCTCCCACACGGCCCAGGCTGCGGCCTCGGGCCGGACCCTCCGAGGAGACCCCAGCACAGGTCTCGGTGCTGCAGACCCTGAGCAGCCATTCACACAGCAAGGGTCCCACATGCCGGCCACCACCAGCCAGTCCTGCTCTTAATCAGACAACAATCACCAGGGGAGACAGGAAAACACGGGTGACCTGCAACGTGGCCAGCCCCACGCCCTCCCAAGGCCACGCGGGGTCAGGATGCCGCAGCCAGAGCTGCCTGGACTCCAAGCCTGTGAGCAGCCACATCTCCACGCCAAGGCACCAGTGACCATGTCAGGGCCCTGGGACATCATTCCAAATGTTGGCACTGCCCGTCTGGTGGACTGGCAAGTTTTCACACTCTCATGTGGTTGGGAACAAAAGCAACAGAATACAATGTTGATGTGGGAAAATCACAGGAAACTCAGATTTCCCCGTCTATGAATAAAACCTTGGGACGTGGCCACGCCCATCGTCTGCACTGTGCCATTTCCTCTTCCCAGAACAAGGGCAGAGTAGACTGGTCACCACCGAGACCAGGTGGCTGCAGAGTCTGAAATATTTACTAGCTAGACACGGAGAAGGGCTGCCGACCAGGCAGGCAGCCGGCCCCGCCACCCCACGGCCCCACTGGAGGGTGGTCCTCGGCACCCACCATGGGGAAGACTTGCTCCACGCTCTGGCTTCAGAAGCCCAAAGCACAGGAGCAGCCAGCCGAGGGGAGTGGGATGGACCAAGGCCACGGATCCACGTGGGCCACTAACACAGGAGGGAGAGGTGGCCAGCGGGAGACCAGAGTCAGGGCAGAGGTCACAGGCCACACTGCAGAGAGCACCGGGGCACGGGGTACGGTCCACTGCTGGCCCTGCTCCTGATACAATTCCTGCTGCTTCTATGACCAGATGCACTTTCCACCCCCTGGTAATCTCTAGTTTGTCTCCTTCGTCCCCAAACAGTCTGCTTCCAAAAGCATCTTTCAGGAAAATAAAGAGAAGCTCCGGTTTCCATTGCAGACTATGCCTGACTCTAAAATACATACACGATTGCACTTATTTTGTATATATACAAATGAATATGAATTGTAAAATTCCATAAATTTCCTTTAACTGGTGCTCACAGGTCACAATTCAGTTTGTCACCTTGGGTCTTTTTAAAAAGTAACATGTCTGTATAAACACACCGCGCCCTGTTTCCTGCACACCCAGAGTGAACCTTGACAATTCCCACTTCAAGGAGCGTGTCCCCAGCCCTGACACAGCATTCCTGCCCTTACGCCCTCAGTCCCAGGCTCCCCTGGCCTGGGACAGGGACAGCCCACTGCGGCCATCAGAGGGGAAGCCGTCCTGAGCAGCTTGACATTCCTCAGCCAGCATTTTCAAGGACAGGAGGACTGGAGCCCAGGAGCTGTCTTAGGTGCTGAAGGTTAACGGCTTGATTTACAAAGCCATCAGTTCACCTAGGAGGCTGCCCAGGACTGTGGGCACCGCAGGCCCAGGGCCATGCCTGACACATCTTAATGACACCATCTTGCTCAACAACTCACTTATTTATCTCTGCTTTCAGTTAGAGTCTCAGGCCACCTACTGAATAAAAACAGACTGCACATGCATCCCTCCTGCGGCACTCTCTGGAGTATTTTGGGACTGCAGTAGGACAAGAGTGAGGCTTCCCATACTGGGGGTACGCCCTCCATCGCCCTGGCCACGTCCTGGCCACGTCCATGCCACGCCCATGCCCCAGGCACGCCCATGTCCTCTACCTGCCACGCCCATGTCACGCCTACACCCTTTACCTACCAGGCCTACACCCTCCACTGCCCCGGCCACGCCCA